ACACACACACACACATATATAGGAAGTAGTAAAACACAAACAGGACGTGTAATGCAGCACAAGTGAGCGTGACAGGAACCGCAAGCTATGGTGATATCCTGGGGTTGTCCGCCACTTATTGTGCATTTGTGTGTACATACATGTGTGTATTTGTGTATTTTGCCTCTAGGGGACTGCTAACAGTACACACAACCCTCATCCTGCATGTCAACTGTTAGCTCCATTAAAGGTGTTTTTATTTGTAATGTGCTTCTTGACGTCTTTGTTCTTGGACCTTGAACTCATAATGTTGCTGTTTTAGAGTAAGACCTCGGGAGACCAAAACACACACCAGGAATTCTCAGGGTAGGTCTGGTCCATCCTGAGGTCACATGAAGTTAATGTTTTTCCAGTAAGGGAAGGCGTCTCAGGCCTGGACTGGGGGATCTACACAACACAAACTTTACGTTGGGTCATGTCCTTTTGTAAGACAAGAAAGGGTAACGTTAGGAAATCAACCTGGTTTCTTCTGTGTTGTTTGGACCTATATAGTCTGAGCTCATACTTGCAGGATTGTGGAGGAATAAATTGTTTCCAGTTACAGTAGTTTGATACAATTCCAGTTCACTGGTCAGTCTCATGACTCCTCTCCTTCTTATATTCTCCTGTCTCTTGTTTGTGCCAGACAGATGTACAAGTTGAATTTAATATGGTCAGTTAAACATTTAGTATCATCCTGAGCTTTCACAACCACAATGGTGAGTTTGTGTTGCATTATTGCAAATAATTTGACAATGGCAACAGTCAGTGAACAGAAAGGTCAAGTGGAATCTGCACGTATGTTTAACTTGTATTACAATGTTTCATTTGGAACTGGGTTTTTGTTTTTCTTTCACGATATCCTTGAAACATTTCTACTTCCAAAAGGGAATAACCAATTTATCTTGTAAATTTAGTACATTGTGTTGGAATGACTTGGACCTTTATTTGATAGAGATGGCTGGGTAGAAAGAGAGAGAGAGAGAAAGGGGACGACATGCAGCAAAGGGCCACAGATTCAAACCTGGACCGCTGTGTATATGGGTCGCCAGCTCTACCGACTGAGCTAACCGGGTGCCCCAAAAAAAAAAACTGAAATATTTAGTCACGATCCAAAGTGTTGGCCAAATTTAAAACTTCAACCTGATTATAGCACTAGATTGGATGTGAAGGGATCACCTGGGTTATTACAATTAATCCTGAGGGGGGATATGAAGGTATGTATGAAAGGCAATCCATACAATCCATATAGTCCAGTAAATATTTCAGTACGGATCAAAGTGGTGGACCGACAGACAAACATCATCCACAAAGTGGTGCCCCTACCACTGCTACAGATCCAAACTAAAGGTCTGTAGTGTGTGAAGGGTCTGGAAAAAGTGAAATTTGAGTCAAGATTATTTATTTATTTGTTTGTTTTTTATCAAATTACTTGTCATGGTCATGAATGAGACTTAATTATTTAAACCTAGTATGAGCAGTTTCTAACTGGTTATGAAATGATCTCAATTTAAAACTGCTCCCTTTATATGACCTACATAAACAAACAACCGAGATTGATTATTTCTATATAGTTATACTGTATAAAACAAGGCAAAAAAGTTAAAGTTACTGCTCTAATGAAGTTTGCTTGTTGCATATGTTTGACCTTTATACTGCAATTCTTGCAGTCATCTTACACTGCACATATGTCTTATAATTTTCAGCATTGTGTGAATGAAAAGCATGTTTGTACATATCATTTTAGTACATCCGTAAACTAATAAGTTATGAATTGCTTAATAACCTTCAGATGGGCTCATTGATCCTTTCATGATGCTCCTTCTATAGATGAGATGACCTTGTTGTGTTTCACTGCTGAGAAAAGGCCAGCTGTGTTGGGTCTGTCGCTCCACATGTGAATCCATACATAACAGTAATACTGGAAATAAAAATGTTCATGCTTGGTCTTTCTTTTCATTAGGTTTTACAACTGTACAACTGTTTTGACCATTTATCCATTGCTTTTAGCTATTTATATGTAGTTCAACTTTTCTGCTCACTTGCTTTTCTCCTAAATACAAATATGTGGCTACAGTTAACAGTATATATGACACAAGAAGGCAAATGTCTATTTTTGCATTGTGCATGTTATATACTTAATTATGACCATTTCAGGTCAGAGTAACTTGAGGTGGTGGTGACAGAAAGTGGCCTTGATCATCCTGCGCCCTTTCACCCCTTCACCCTGACTCTAGTTGGCAGTCTACTGTTAACACATGACATCAATCTTCTGTGGGAGGGAATGATCCGAATATAGAGAGCACACACGCACACACCTACTGTACAGGGACAGGACTTAAAAGTACTCGCTCAACTAGTACAAGCTTTGACAAAACTTTCCCCTCACTCAGCCAGGGCAAAGGCAAGTGTGTATCACATGTACTGTATGTATAGACACACACACACACACACACACACACACACACAGGAGCAGGGGCTATAATTAACCTTCCTGTGAGTCCCTGTAAAACCAGTTGTGATGGAAACTGTGGTCACACTCTTTGGATCTGCTGTTTACTTTGAGTCACAACTAACGGACTGCAATATTTTCAGGCCCACTACACACAAAGCAACTCTAATTTTTACTACATTGTTGAGTTGAAGCTGCCAAGAAATTTATTTCTGTTGTGGAGGATTATTTGCCCATTTCAGTGTTTGCAGACTGTTAGTAGACTGTTTGTAGACTTGAGTTTGTGAGTAAACTCTGTTGTTTTTTTCTTACCTTGACCTTTTCAACTGACATTTATGAACACTACACATCTTAAGAAAAAAACACACCCTGCAGCAATAATTGTTTTACATGTTTGTCCAACGGTGTAGACACTTTTATTTCCAGGCCTCAAGAGGCAATCATTTTTTTAATTCAAACACTTTCCCAGGTTTAACAGGCACCATGCATAACACATTTTCTAAAAAAAAAAAAAAAAAAAAAAAAAAAAAAGAATACAGACCTGCAATTTTAGAGAAAGAAAACAACAACAAACCATTGGAATTTATTGAGTGTTTTTTTTTTTACAGTAAAAGGAACAACAGTATAAAGAGAGGGAGAGGGAGAAAAAAGAGGTCACATTCATCAGTAATGTTAATACTGAGTGTACAGTATGAGGAAGTGGCAGCAGCCATATGAGTAGTTTGCTTGGCCTGGGATAAGGTGGGGTGCAGGGCTTTAGTTGATGCAAGTAGATGCTGGAGGGAGGTTTCAGTGTTACGTTTTACTGTGCCTTTTCGTAGCGACGTGTGCAAACGACATCTCCCATTGTGAGCGTCTGTGATGGAGAGAGAAAGATGGTTAAAACACAACCAACGCGCACCAATACCGATATTAAATATATATGCGTTTAGTGTGAGCACTGACCAGTGTGAGGGCGTTGCCGTCGACTTCCCTGACCAGGCTGGTCTCTTTGCCGTCCCATCTCTGTATGTGCACCAACTTCCCATCCTCTACTGTTACAATGGACTGCAGAGAGAAAAACAAAGGGAGCTTGTTACACACAAGTGTACAGACAAGATCGTATAAACACCTCGTAAATGAAGTTTTTGATATATTTTTAATATATATTTGAATATATTAAACTGATAAAGGGTGTGTTTTTGTGTCAAAATATGTCTCCTAAACTTATTTTGCATCTGTGCATGCATTTTGTGTCCTGATGAGTTTAAAATCGAACTGAGAAATGATTTGATTTAAGCTGAAACAAGGATGTTTTCGGTCCGTTGCTGCTGCAGACTTTCCATTCCTCTGATACTTTGAAATCTCTTGACTTCTCTGTACACCAAAACCACAGTTCATACCCCTCTGCCCTGCTAATCAGAATATGGTATGGTTGCTGTGTCTTAGGTCTCATTTTATGACCAGCCTCTCTGACCCTCACCCTCTCTCACCTCTGACCTCTCTGACCCACCGCCTCCTGTTCACATTCAAAACAAGAATGACAACCCCCGATCCTCTTCAGGACTGTAACTATCACTGTCACTATGGGTACTTCAGCCTTTTTTAAGCCTATAGCCTAAAGGGCCATGTAAACAAACAAAGATTAAACATTGCTAAAGTATAAACTGAGGTTTTGCCATCAGGTGTTGGGGTTCGCCTCACCTTAACCTTCCTGTCATCGGCGGTGGTCTCGTCAAACTCCTCTCCCAGCGTGAAGGAGAGCTCTGTGTTCTTAATGGTGCTCTGGGTCTTCACTGTCACCTTGTCGCCCTCCACTGAGATGATGGTGGTGGGCTTGGTCATGTTGCCTATTTTACGTGTAGCATAGCCCACACCTGTAAAAAAAAAAAACAAAGACACATGGGTTAAGCAATGCTGAGCAAGCATGCAAACATTAGAGAGCTACATGCAAATTACCTATTAATGCAAAGTACAACTGAGGCTGATAGGAATGCCTTTAGTCCTGCAGGTATTTTGTCATAAACCAAAGACACATGAATATCTGTATCAGAGTTCATGGCAATCTGTTCAGTAGTTGTCAAGATATTTCACTCTTTATCAAAGTGGTGGACTCTACCTCATGGTGGCGCTAGAGGAAAAGTCACCTGTACCAAATTTTGTGCCAATCCACCTTGGAGATGTTGATATATTTCACAGGATAAAACTTGCTAGATGAAATGTTGTTTCTGTTGGAAATAAAAATGTATGTGCCAAACTTCATGGGAATCAGGCCAATAGTTTCCACTAAAAGCAAAAAATGGGAGGGGATCGCTGGAGTTAATGGGAACAGGATAGTCCTTAACTGGTATGTGCTAAACTGTTGAATATTTTGATTTGTTTATAAAGTAAATGTCTCTGTTAGTAATATTACCAGCATGAGCACACATTTTGATAAAGGTTTCCAGCAGTAGCCATGCATTTACCCTTTGTGTCTCCTTCAGCTGACACGCTCTAATCTCTGTTTGTCTGTTGTCCAAACCTGCAGCATGTTCTTTAAACGCTGCAGGGTCCCATCGACCTGACTGCCTCTCTGGGCACGTATCTGTGCAAAGATTACTTGCTTTCCTTTTAGGGTGTGTGTGTGTGTGT